TTATAATACAGACATTTTTTATTAATTAATTAATTTGTATGAAATAAATACAAACAAATAAAATACGTACATATTGGATTTTATACTTTTTCTTGTTTTTTGAGGGACTATCCTAGTAAAACTTGTTTTAAAACTTGGAAGTTTTTCTTAAAAAAATGTAAAAGATTAATCTAAAATCAATAATGATAGTCACATAAGTAAATTTGGCACATATGTGATAGCGTTTTTTAATACAAACAAACATAAACATATTTCAATTCTTATATAGGTACAAATATCGATATAAGTAGGAATCGATATTGTTAGCCCGATACTTTGTAGGTATCGATACTTTCTTTCGATGCTACTTCCAAGTACAGGTATCGATACTTCTATGGTATCGTTTCATCCCTACTCGTAACTAAAAAATAATGAAAGAATTATTAGTCAATGTTATTGTGGCTGGTTAACATTTTATTTTTAATATTTTATTGAGCTTTGTACCACGATTGTTTATTAGGAAAAATTGAAAAAGCAACAAAGTCCAAGCGGTAGAAGTTATAGCACTATTTCGGAGATCACCACATCTCCTCATCAGACTTCTTTTTTCTAGACTTCAGCAGGAATCGAACCTGCGAATTCGATGTTCAAAATCAGAAGCGTTAACCACTGAGCTATGTACATCCCGTAAACTCTTGTTTCTAATTCATTTTCCTTATTCAACCAACTACTATCAAGTGCAGCTGATTTGCCGCTATTTAAACTCGACAGCGTGGTTGTTGTTGTCAATTCTATACATCCATTTGCTTATTTGCTTTTTTGTATAGTTTCATAGTTTGTATTTGTCAATGTTATTGTGGCTTGTTAACATTTTATTTTTAATATTTTATTGAGCTTTGTACCACGATTGTTTATTAGGAAAAATTGAAAAAGCAACAAAGTCTAAGCGGTAGAAGTTATAGCACTATTTCGGAGATCACCACATCTCCTCATCAGACTTCTTTTTTCTAGACTTCAGCAGGAATCGAACCTGCGAATTCGATGTTCAAAGTCAGAAGCGTTAGCCACTGAGCTATGTACATCCCGTAAACTCTTGTTGCTAACAGGCTAACCTAATATTCACGCACGCCGCCAATTTATTGTCAAAAATTTCTCATGCACATGCAACTTGTATGAGATCAACCGAAATTGAACGGCGTGCGTATGAAGCTAACTCAATTTCCAATTTTTGTTCTGCGTGACATTTTGATTTGACGTTTCGCTCAATGAAATCAAATGCAAACGCAAGCAAGTCAATTTCGGGTGACGCAAAATACAAATTCGACGGCATGCGTACCAAAACGCAAGCCGCCAATATTAGGTTAGCCTGTAATTCATTTTCTTTATTCAACCGCTTAGACTTTGTTGCTTTTTCAATTTTTCCTAATAAACAATCATTGTACAAAGCTCAATAAAATATTAGAAAGAATTATTAGTTAATAATGTTGCTGGTCATATTGTGCATCTAGCTGACAATGTAGGCCATTGAAATTTTCTTGGAAAACTTTAAATTTAATATAAAAATTTATGTACTTACGTTTCTGGTTCTGCCGACCAATTTCTTTGTTACTTCAATTGTCAAACTGAGCAAATTTGACGTTTCTTGACTTGCCGGTCATTTGGATTTTTTCTTCAATTGTCAAACTCAGCAAATTTGACATTTCTTGTTTGACACTTTATGGACCTCAAGCAACAACAAAATACATATGTTTGTTGTATTCGCTCTAATGGGCTGTTTTTGCTTACGCGTAAAAGCACATTTAGCGCATTTGGCTCTAAATTCTACTCTAAATGTACATTTATCCATACCAAATTCGTCACCCAAATGCTTCCTTTTTTGCATTAAGTATATAAATGCTAAAAGCAACCCTGTGATCTTCCAAAATTTCCACGATTCGAACATGGTTGAATGAGGAAAAGTGGCAACATTGCTTTTTCCAGTATACAGTGGCCTGCTGTGTTTCAGTGATCGCCGATAGAGATTTCATTCATTGTTTTCTATTATTTGGATAAAGGAAAGGAAAGTTAAGCAAATTCAACGTCGAAGTGATGCTGATAGAAATCTGGATCAATTTGTGATCAACTCTGTTTTGTTTCCTAATTAAATGAGGAAATTTTAATTGACAGCACCGACAAATGAACATATACACAACCAAATGTTCGGTTATGGTTAAAGCAATTCAAGTTTTTGTATTGAATTTTTGGTTTAAAATTTATTTTTCTCTTTTCAGTAGGGTTTTTGCACATTATCTTCTGCGTGAGAATTGATCGTAAGAGATGTGGATCTGAATAAGCGACTGGGACACGGCTGTTTGTCAAAAGCATACGATTTCGAACTCGCGTAAATATACATTTGCAAAATGCGATAGCTAAACGCTCTTCGAAAACATATGTTTGAAAGTGCTAAATGTTGCATTTTAAATGCAGCAAAAACGCTG